AAACAACAAATATTTGAGTACTGAAAAATTATTAAATTGTTTTTCCATTCTGAGGAATATGAAAAATACTATGCTACCAATAACACCAGAATTTCAGGGGATTATCTCACATTTTGGAACTATAACAAGATGAAAATTAGATGTTATAATACCAAAGTTTCATGTGTATGTTGTTTTTGTAATTGGTGATTGTGTGTTGTTGGGCTGTCTGAGTAGTGAGTTGATGGATGTGTATTGGATGTTAGTACTGAGACGGTCTAATCTGATTACTTGTCACGACAAGGAGGAGGGGGCGGCACCGACATGGAATTACTCTCTACTTGTTCTGTTTCAAATAAGTCAGTGCTTACCAAGGTATAGATATCTAACTGATGGACGCAGCATTTCAACACAACTTTTTGTCTCTTTTTTTTTATCATATCAAAAAATATTCGACAAAAGTAATGATCTTGTTCTATTTTCACAGTAATCATTCATTATCGGAATCATTAATATGCAAGTGTGACGAGATGATGTGGTTACTAGTGAAGAATTCTATTTTAAAGAGCGCCTCCATTATCTGGTGCTCATGTCCTGATTTGGTCTAGACACAATAATTACTGTCTTGTTCGAAATTGAGACATTGTCGCTGGTATAACTTAGACAGACAGTTATTGCTAGATTTAAATTATCATTAAACTTTAGTTGGCAAATGAGAAAATTGTTGTTTTGACAGACCTGACTCAAAGTTGATAGCTTTAGCTACTCTTCCATGGTATTAATATGTGATAGTCTGTTTCCCAAATTTAATTTGAATGTCTTTAATGTTATTTGTGTGTGCTTTGTAATGGGAAAACATATTGTGAAATAACATTTATTTAATGCCCAACGCTAAGCAAAGATGTTGAGGTAAAGTGGAAATTCAAGATGGCCTTTCGTCAGAACTGTTTGTTATATTCAATCGCACCCTAAAAAAGGTTATGCAATGTATATATACAACCAGGACCCCATCTTTGTCAAAAGGCTTTGGTGCATTTGAAAAAATAATTTGTTCACAATATATTGAAAATAAGCTTTAGGATTTACACACAAAATATTTGCTGAACATGGTGGATGTCCTGAATAAAGTATGTAGTATTTTTTATATAAGTTGATAAGGTCCTTTAAAAAACAACAGTTGTGTCTTGAAGCAGTGAATGAACAGATATGTTGTCTTTTATAGAAAATCTCAGCAGGATTTTAAGATCGTGATCTAGTCAGAGTTTTAGATGTACAAATGTATTACTTAATTGCGTGGTGCAGATAGTTATCTGATTGTTCAGTCACACCTATAGTATGCCTATCTTTACTCTTAGAGTCAGCAGTACGGCTGCATCATAGAACGTGTGAGCAGAGTTGTGCGAGGAAGGAGGGAGGGCCATGATGTCTGATCCTCAGTGTAAGCCTATCACAGGGAGCTCCTGGAGTCTGTCCATAGCCAGCTTATTGACATTATAGCAGTGGGTAAAGCCACGACAGGTTTTAGTCTACAACTGTGACAGTTTACAAACCCACCCATCTGGTTAGGAAATGTTTGTTCAGTATAATCATTATTAACATGCTCTTTGCATATCTCTATAAAGCTGTATACTATATTGATGAAGTTCTTCATCAGTCTCTCATGTCTTCATAATGTTTTTGTGTAGTGACACACAATTTCCATCCATGTATGCCAAACAAAATTAAGCTCCATGTTTGAGTCATTAAGTGTTATGTAAAAAGTTTTCGGTGGAGGCATTATTGGTTGACTTCACTAGCTTGATGATAAGTTGAAGGGAGGTAACTCCTGCACTCCAATATGGCCAGACAATGACACAGGCAGATATATATTGTGGCCAGAACCTGACATGGCGGAGCACATGTATCGTGATGAAATGCACAGATTTATGGTGTTGGATGTTAGGTCAACCAGATGTAGTTTCTATATCTGACCACAGCCCAAAGCCTTCTACCAAATAATAAATAGACATATTTTACAGTGTATTACGCTACCTGTTCTCATTGATAGATTGGAATTATGAGAATGCAAACCAAGACACAGTGACTGAATCATGATAACAAAATAAAAATTAATGTCTGTAAGAAACTTAGTTGTTCATTGATAAGATGCATGGTATACTGGTGTTTCTGGTCCCTGCAAACATTTTGTACTGGAGAACCATCTCAGACCATGATACTTGACCTTTTTGTTCAAGGAGACCTTTCTCTGCAACAGAGAATGTTTATGTTAGATAATTTACTTTGGCACCAAAATATGCTTGTGTTTACAAGTTGTTTCTAGTTCTTGCCCCCACACTACACCTTTTGTGGCACATGAAATATGTAAGACAAACATCCTTTGCCGATCCAACCCAACTTTTCTCATGTTAATAGCACTTTACCCCTAGCCAGGAGGATAACCAATGTTGGAAGTATGTCACTTATATTATATTTTTTATAAGTTTTTAATTGTTTTCATTAAATCCTTCAATTCAAATGTTAATAATCTTTTTTGGAGAAAGTATTTGTTTCTACATATATAAATCATAATCTCTTCCCGACCTACCTTGGTTTTCCAGCCTGTTAATTGTTTTGACCCAACAGTATTTTTATTGAAGTTAGCAATAAAGGTAAGAATTAAGCTCAAGACAGTTGATAGAAATGCCTCGAGTCTTTTCAGTTTTTATTGGCCCAGTTTTCAAGGTTGAGCAGTACGCTGTGCTGAGTTGCATCCCTAAGTTATGCCAGAATCTGATGATAGTTGGTTTGAATGACAGGTTTGTTTGACAATGATTCTTAGTTTGTCAGAGCCATACCCATGCTCGTCAATTTCACCAATGTGGTGATTGCTTTACTTGGGCTTTCATCATTGAACAAACTGTGATGTGACTGAAATATTGTTCCAAGCGTGCACACTCTCATTGTCAGGTGTATTGACTATGGATAGATTCAAACTGCAACATGATGTAGTTGTGATAGTACTGAGCATGTGATTGCCTGTGTCTATTTCTGTCCGTGTATTGTAACTGCCATCATCATTAAGTTATCTTTTCTAACTACTTACATATGTAAATAATGTATCTGAGCCTTGGTGTTCCTGTATGTCACAGTAGGTCGATGTGAACAAATGACAGTGTTGGGTTGAATGTATACCAGGTTAGGGTAACGGTATACTACAAAGACTTACACCACAGGTTAATACATGTCACAGGGGTCAAACTGTTGGGGCTCAAAAACAGGAAATAAATGCTATTTGACCTAGATTTTGAACAATACATATTGAGGTAATGGAGAATATAAAGTGTGTGTCCTCCACTGTCTTATCTGTTCCCATAGGCCATTCCTTGACCTTAATTCTCGCCATTTCTTTATCCACAGAGCTTCCCTATCCTTCCTGGAGTCTTTGTATTATCTTATTACAAGCATACCAGCATGAACACCGTCTGTCTTCCTAAACTGATTACACTGGGGATGTTTTGTGCAGTGGACATTTTGTCTAGTGTGGATGTAGTCGATCCTCCGTTGGTCTTTTGGGTAGTTTAAGATTTGAGGAATAACTGTAGCTGCTAAGACTATGTTACTTGTCTCTTCTGGTGGTTCCTTAGTTCTAGACATGGCTTACTTGGTCCTGTTGAAACGGAACAGAAAACAACAAACAGAACAAGCTTGATCAACATGCTGATGTACCTTTATCCTTGCTTTCATATCAGGCTGGATAGTTTATCTCAAATGTCACATGAAACACTTCACTGCAGGTTACTGTTCAAATTGGATTGTTCCTGATGTTTTTACTTGCTATTTTAGTAGATTTCTATAGGTGTTTGTTTTAGTTGATCGGATGTTTGATGAAGGAACTGATGTGAAAAGGAAATGGTTTTGAGTTTGCACACTTCACAAACAACCCAACACCACTCAAAGACTTTATCTGGATTTCTTGAAACATCAGTTGACATAACTTTTAGAAAACATTTTTACAGTAGACTATTCCTTCCTCTTTTCATATTAAACTGTTTAACTTCTGTGAGTAGTTCTAGTTAAAGTCAATATTTATTCAATTGCCATAGCAAACACTGTTTGCTGCTAGACACCTGAGGAATTATGTTCAATGTGTATCTTCTCTCCTCAAGATATTTGAAGTTTTGAAGTATATCATACAACCGGCCTTCAAGTCTGAACTTAGGTTAATATCCACACCTGGAACAATAAGAAGATGAGGAATGTAATTTGATCAGGTTCCATTTTGGTGACCATTGATTTTACAAGCTAGAATAAGCTGTGCATTCCTGGCTTTGGGTGTGTATGTAAATATTTCATGAGAACATATACATATCACATGTGTTGCAATGATATGCCCAGTTTTGTAACACAATCCTAGCCTAGAACATCGTAAATTGCCTGTAAATTTCATCACCAAAATCAAATTAGTGGGTCGTAAGTGGATGAGGGAATTTAGTCTTGATTAAGCTTGACCTGTGAAGGCACCTCGACTTCAGTAGTGTATAGCGTACTATGTTCTATATGCAAGCACTTCTCTAGCCTCAGCTTAGATTCACTCTGTTTGAGTTACCGGAGCCCTGCGCAGACTAAAAATAGCCTGTGACCGGCTGATAGCACATGGACCACTGTTATATAGAGCTGAGGTGGAGCTAGCAAGTGGCATCAGGATGGGGGAGCAAGCATTGCAGCTCCCAATATTGTGACTTCGCCAGCATGGGCTTGTCCAACCTTCAAGCATGTGGTTTGCCTTAGTTACAATAGTACTATCATCTACAGAGACTGGAATCATGTGTGGAGAAACTGTGGCTTTATTGTTGGAATGTAAACAGCCAGAACACCCCATGTGCTTGGTGTGACTGTCAACCGCTGGTCACTCTGCCTTTCCTGTGTCAATTTCAATGTCCAGCAATTGAGTGTCCATGGTGGCGAGATTGATCGGAAAAGCTTGTAATGATGAACATGAACCCTGACCCGTTCTATTCCTCTCCCTTCTCTACCTATTACAGGAGGCCCACCCCCTATATGGGCCAGCCAGACTACCGTATCTATGAACTTAACAAAAGACTGCAACAGAGGACGGAGGTAAGATGTTTATTATTTACTTTCATACACCTAAATAACATATAGAAGTTTATTTCACTCTACAGCGATATTCCATGTTGTGTGCCTTACTTTTCTTTCATGGTCATGGTGATTTTATGACATACGTCCCCCCACCCCACCCGTATATATAGTGTGTATTGTGATTGTGTGTATATTCCTGAGAAGCAGTGAGCAGTCATACCTCACCTTCTCCCAGTCCCAGTGTTATGCATGAGCTAGGTTTCTGTACTGATGTTAACCCTTCCCATGTCATTGCTTGCTTCAAGAACACTCAGCCCGCTTGTCATCACAATCCATCAAGTTTGCTTTATCTGTTTGTTGGTGACACACTGTGTTGTATCTACATGAGTGTTGTGATACACAAGATTGTAATAGGAAATGTACCATTATTTCTATCTGGATCATATGATCAAAACCCTCTTACAGATTAGAGTATGCATCACTGTAGTCATTTCAAGCAGTACAGATACTCTGAATAAAAAAATGAAAATGATTGCTGCTTTGGTTCACAGGTAAGAAAACTAATGTATTCAGTGGTACAGGGTTACTCGTTTTGTAACACAATCAGGCATCATAGTACGTTCCATTTGCATATTACATGTACATGTATTTGGTGTATGTTTCATGTTTTGTTTAAAAAAAATGAATTGTATTGAGTTTCCATGTATTGCAACACGTGCAAATTACAACAATGAAGTGTGTCATCTTGACAAATTCAGGAACTGGAAGCATATTGAAAATAGTCAATAGCTGCTTGACAAAATAATAGACACAACATGTGTTTGAATAACAGCTTACATGAAATACAGCTTCAAATGTTAACCCTGACTATTAGGGCCTTTTTTAACTGCTGCAGTTGTATTGCAATAGTATTGCGATAGTGTGAAACAAACTTTAAGGCTTGATCATTATATTAATTAATAGAAATGAATCAAGTATTGGGGGACGATGTCAAAGTCAGCGATTTGCCTCACTGTTGCTGCTCAAACCAAAGTGAAGTAAGTTGCCGTAATCCTTGCTAATCAACACAAGGCAGGATTGAAATTTGACTTTTCTGATGCATAATTTATGTTATATTTAAGGCCATCCATATTTTTATTATGTGTTTCACATCTCCAACCTCCTAATTTCCACAGCAGCAGGGAAAATTAAAATAAGAAAACGTTTTATTATTTCACGTCAGAATGAAAATTCAGGGCGGGCAGGAGATAGGAAACACAGAAAAAAAACCTGACAGCCTAACTAATTGTGACTAATGAGACTATCGATTGTTATCCATACTATCGACAAAACTATCAGCATTTTTAAATTCCTATCAATATAATAGAATTGTTGGGTAAACAATAGGGCTGCAACAACACAGGAAGGTCAAGATACGATACATATCTCGATACTCTGGTCACATTACACTATGTATCTCGATACTCTGGTCACAATACAATATGTATGTGATAATGTCGATACTCTGGTCACATTACACTATGTATCTCGATACTCTGGTCACATTACACTATGTATCTCGATACTCTGGTCACATTACAATATGTATGTGATAATGTCGATACTCTGGTCACATTACACTATGTATCTCGATACTCTGGTCACATTACACTATGTATCTCGATACTCTGGTCTCATTACAATATGTATCTCGATACTCTGGTCACATTACACTATGTATCTCGATACGCTGGTCACATTACACTATGTATCTCGATACTCTGGTCACATTACAATATGTATCTCGATACTCTGGTCACATTACACTATGTATCTCGATACTCTGGTCACATTACACTATGTATGTCGATACTCTGGTCACATTACACTATGTATGTCGATACTCTGGTCACATTACACTATGTATCTCGATACTCTTGTCACATTACAATATGTATGTGATAATGTCGATACTCTGGTCACATTACACTATGTATCTCGATACTCTGGTCACATTACACTATGTATCTCGAGACTCTGGTCACATTACACTATGTATCTCGATACTCTTGTCACATTACAAGATGTATGTGATAATGTCGATACTCTGGTCACATTACACTATGTATCTCGATACTCTGGTCACATTACGCTATGTATCTCGATACTCTGGTCTCATTACACTATGTATCTCGATACTCTGGTCACATTACACTATGTATGTCGATACTCTGGTCACATTACAATATGTATCTCGATACTCTGGTCACATTACACTATGTATCTCGATACTCTGGTCACATTACACTATGTATCTCGATACTCTGGTCACATTACACTATGTATCTCGACAGCTGGTCACATTACACTATGTATCTCGATACTCTGGTCACATTACAATATGTATCTCGATACTCTGGTCACATTACAATATGTATCTCGATACTCTGGTCACATTACACTATGTATCTCGATACGCTGGTCACATTACAATATGTATCTCGATACTCTGGTCACATTACACTATGTATCTCGATACTCTGGTCACATTACACTATGTATCTCGATACTCTGGTCACATTACACTATGTATCTCGATACTCTGGTCACATTACACTATGTAACTCGATACTCTGGTCACATTACACTATGTATCTCGATACTCTGGTCACATTACACTATGTATCTCGATACTCTGGTCACATTACACTATGTATCTCGATACTCTGGTCACATTACACTATGTTTCTCGATACGCTGGTCACATTACACTATGTATCTCGATACGCTGGTCACATTACACTATGTATCTCGATACTCTGGTCACATTACACTATGTATCTCGATACGCTGGTCACATTACACTATGTATCTCGATACTCTGGTCACATTACACTATGTATCTCGATACTCTGGTCAAATTACAATATGTATCTCGATACTCTGGTCACATTACACTATGTATGTTGATACTCTGGTCACATTACACTATGTATCTCGATACTCTGGTCACATTACAATATGTATCTCGATACTCTGGTCACATTACACTATGTATCTCGATACTCTGGTCACATTACACTATGTATCTCGATACTCTGGTCACATTACAATATGTATCTCGATACTCTGGTCACATTACACTATGTATCTCGATACTCTGGTCACATTACACTATGTATCTCGATACGCTGGTCACATTACACTATGTATCTCGATACTCTGGTCTCATTACACTATGTATCTCGATACTCTGGTCACATTACACTATGTATGTCGATACTCTGGTCACATTACAATATGTATCTCGATACTCTGGTCACATTACACTATGTATCTCGATACTCTGGTCACATTACACTATGTATCTCGATACTCTGGTCACATTACACTATGTATCTCGATACTCTGGTCACATTACACTATGTATCTCGATACGCTGGTCACATTACACTATGTATCTCGATACTCTGGTCACATTACACTATGTTTCTCGACAGCTGGTCACATTACACTATGTATCTCGATACTCTGGTCACATTACAATATGTATCTCGATACTCTGGTCACATTACAATATGTATCTCGATACTCTGGTCACATTACACTATGTATCTCGATACGCTGGTCACATTACACTATGTATCTCGATACTCTGGTCACATTACAATATGTATCTCGATACTCTGGTCACATTACACTATGTATCTCGATACTCTGGTCACATTACACTATGTATCTCGATACTCTGGTCACATTACACTATGTATCTCGATACTCTGGTCACATTACACTATGTAACTCGATACTCTGGTCACATTACACTATGTATCTCGATACGCTGGTCACATTACACTATGTATCTCGATACTCTGGTCACATTACACTATGTATCTCGATACTCTGGTCACATTACACTATGTTTCTCGATACGCTGGTCACATTACACTATGTATCTCGATACGCTGGTCACATTACAATATGTATGATCATGATGATTCTAAAAAAAACCCAGATAACAGTACTCGAGTACGCCAGCGTTTATTAAGTTTCAAGACTTCAAACATGTCAAGATTGGACCTTTCATGATTTTGGAACAGTTACAATTATTTTATGATAACAAGACTACTGAAGTTGTTAAGCTTCAAAGTGGAACTTTCTCTACTTTCCTTCCAAACACTTCAAATTTCAAAACAGCTGAAAACTTCAAAGTTCAAACACCAGAAAATAATCAATGTACTTCACAGTCTGAATAGTTCAACTTCAGGTTCTTTGTTATAAAAATTAATATGTCAGCATTGTCAAAGGGATAGTGATGCCCGCTGGGTACTGACAATGTCACAATTGAGTGTCAACGGAGGTGGAGGTGGAGTTGTAGGGACATGGTCTGCCTACCAAACAGGATCTACGATGTGCGTTTCACAGTTTGAAAAAGTTTAGAATTGTAGTTTTTTATGATTCATAGTGTAATTCAGGTGAATTCAGGTGAACGAACAGGTACAACAAACTTCTTGAAACTTGGTCAATAAAAATATGAAATTTGATTTTAAACATCACTAGACATGATGATTTACCATTAAAATTGTATTTCCTGCCCTCATAGGCATGATTTTATATGCAAAGTATAAGATTACTGTGTGTATTTTCTCGTAAACTAAGCCAGAAAAAGCAATCAGCTGTACACACGTTTTCTCCCATTCTACCGGTGATTCAGTTAAAAAGTACCCAATGATAAAACTTCAACAAAATCTGATGCAATTGTCGGAAGAAATTGTATCTGAAATTGTTTTATGAGGAATAATATATTCCAATTTAGTTGAAGCTTTTACTACCGTATTTGACGTAATAAGCGCCCACAGCGATATTTGCTAATATATTCGTGTTTAATACGCACTCGTGTTATATGCACCCTTAATTATGGGCAATTAAATTCTGGAAAAATAAATCTCTTGTATATAAACATTTCAGGCTGTCAGCATAACCATGAGATTTATCTTTCAACTCTGTTTTTATCTACAAAATAATATGCCAATAAGAGC